ACCGGGAGAGTCTGGAAGGAAGCTGTATTGTAATGGGAAACAACGGTGCTAGAAACAGGTGTTGTTTGAGGACAATACTAAGAGATTACTCAATTGTCTCCCCTGATTAATGTTTACTACCTTAGCAGAGAAAGACCTGATTCAGCTAACCTGATCTGATAAATCTTAGATTTTGCATTGGCTTTCTTTTCCTGTATTGATTATCAGCAAATACTAAATGACAGCAGTATGACAGCTGAGACCTGTTGTTACCAAGCAATATCTGCAGTTCAAACTTGAAACCTCAAGCTCAAGCTAATTTTAATGAGATACACAACAAACCAGAGGAATCACCAGTAGATCCAGTAAAGTAATACCCCTGTCACAATAAAGTAATACTCCTGTCACAGATGAACCCTCCTGGGGTGTTGGTCCCTGCTTGGACACCATTGTGGCACCACACCACCTGTACATAGTCTGAGCATACTCACACACATATGCATCTTTACAGATATAAATATATGCTTGTATATATGTGTGTATTGATACATGTATGAATCTAGATTGATATTTTAACTTGTAAGCTCCATACTTTATAAATGTCAGCATCAAGGATGTATTAACTGTAAATCAGATACCTATCTTGTAAGGAACAATAAATTATTAAATACATTGGAATGACCTCTCTGCTGAGTGGATTTTTTTCCCATGTCCCATTCTAGGTGGTGTAATGAATCCTGTTTCTAACCCCAAACCCAGAAACAAAACTGGCAATGTTTTCTGCTGCATTGTTTGCTCTTCTACATGACTTACAGAGAGCCTTTTCCTATAAAAACACACTGATCAATATGTGCAGGTCTCTTGTGTGGCCAGGAAACGCAATCTGTGTTGTCTCACCACCAGGTTTGACGTACACCCCAAAGCCCATTGCTGTTTTATAAGCCAGGCTGCTGGCTATCAGCTGATTTGCATGCTTTCAAGTAGGTCACCTAATTTTATTGGGAAAGGGAGAGCTCTCCCCTCGGAGGAGCAGCAAGCACCTTTCATAGTTAAAAAGGTCTTCTGATCACATAGGAAAGAAGTAAATAAGATGCAGGAGTGTATGTAGTGTGTGTGCACACCAGCAGCAGGCAGAGCATCAGGTGTGCTAGACACCAGCAGCTGTGCAGACGCCTCGCAAGACATGGGAGCAAGGACACTACCAGCCAGATTTCCCTACATAAAGAACCTGTCAAAGCTGCTTATTTTCCAGCCTCAGACCTCGACTAGTGATAATTGCTTATTTCGTAAGCACTCAGGCAGCATGGAGCAGCACACTCCTAAGCCAGGAATAATCCTGTGCTGGCTCCTCACAATGTGTGCTACCATGTTAATACACAACCAGGCAGCAGGGCAGGAAAATATTGAGGTCTCATCTGCATACAGAAGGGAATCTTTGATGCTGTAGCATAACAAACATGTTCTGCAATGAAGTTAAAATTATCTTCTCCAAAAACAAGGCTAAAAGGTAACTTCATCTGCCTGTAACTTCTTGCTTATAAAAGAATCAGCAAAGCTGTAACAAGATACATTGAACCAGGCAATGCCAAGCATGAAAAGGACTGTGCATTATTTAGTGGGAAAGAACCAGCCATCAGAATAACATTGCTAGTGTGCTATTGAATTCAGTCTCTGAAATATTTTTTAATCAAATTTGATTTTTTTTTTCCTCATAGAAAATCAGGTTTAATTCAGGTAAGCTTTAATTCAGGGAAGCCTAAGACTGATGTCGTGCAAGAGGCCAGGCTACATTGTCTAAACCTACTTATTCCTACCTTTACTCTGAAATTTCTAAATATACAACTTTAAACCACCTTCCCCCCAAAGCAAAACACCCTTGTGAAGCAGGTAGGCAAGCAGGGCTGTGGCAGAGTAATTCTGCTGGTCAGTTTTTGCACCTAGGAAAGCCTTTATTCAAAGCACTTGTCAAACCATTGCCATGCTGTAGACAAGCTCTGCCTGGGGAGACTGACCAGCACAACTATCACAGAACTACCTCATTATTCAAGGACAAATCACTTTTATTTTGGAATACACTGTCAGCACCAGGGAGTTATACTGGCAGAGGTGAGAGAGTTATTCTGGTTGATTTTCCCATGCAGACGTGCCATACATGTGTGATAGGGCTGTAGGATAATCCCCCAGGAGAAGCAACAAGGATTTTATTGATTGGGATGTTTCAAACTCCTGCAGGCCAAAGCAATCTTCTGTGCACTGACGGAATCAACAAGATGCAATGGGAGGGGGTTTTTGCCTACTCCAACTCCCGTGTTTAGTTTAGAGAAGGCACTATGAACAATGCTAGCAAGTGGCAAAAAGAAGAAAAAAATTATATCTGACTCTGAATTTGCCAGAGGTACTGTCATTCTTGCAACATTAGTGGTAGGAGAGGCCAAATTCCTTGAAATTCAAGCCAAATTATGTGATGCTGAAGCCAGAGGTATGTGTAACAGGCCATGAGGACCAATGGAACTGGCTGAGTGTCCCACACACAGACTACCTTTTTTTTTCTTGACTGACAACACTTATGAGAGAAGTGCTGGCCCAGGCACTGGAAGAAGGCGGATGGAAGGAGCACAGGATATGAAGTAATGAGTAAATGCTAGCAGCCTTCTAGCAGCAGGATGATCAAAGCATGGCTGAGCTACAGGGAACACCCTGTCATTTCAATAACAATAACCATTTAAATTTCAGTGACAGCCCCTCTGCAGAGTCACAATCTGCTGTTTCCATGGCAGGAGCTGCAGGCCTGCCTCCAAGAGATGTCACACCCCATGTGAGCTTGGGCAAACACCATGCATGGGGTGGCTCTCCCAGCTGTGCAGGCAGAGTGGGGAGGTGGGTGAGGTGAGCAGGCTAAACTCACTTGGGTTATAAGGGCTCTACCAAGCAACTATCACAAGGTGCAGTGCTGAGAGATGTTGCTCAGAACACAACCTTGAACACTCCCTCACCCTGCAGGGCACTTGGTTAGTCCAAAGCAAGCACACCAGCTTTCATTGTCCAGAGGCAACATGATTCCCATCAGAGCCCAGATGCTGCTTAGAAGGCAAGGGTTGTGAGGAAGGGCAGCATAGTTTACTAGACTCACTAATGCACCTGGGAGGAAAAAAAAAATAAGTGACTTCAGAGCTTTGAGAAAAGCACATTATGCCTGAAATGTTTTCCAGCCACACCAACTGGCCTAATTAAGTACTTTTCTCCCCAGAACCCCTACTGTGCTTCCATCTTTCCCAACAGTAAGAGCAGCAACGATTGCTACAGGGGCAAATCAATGCTGCTGGCTTTGCTTCCAAAATCCTCTTAATTATGCCCTGTGCAAATTGCTGGGCCCCAGGACATTGCAAACCAGACACTTTGCAGCAGTCTCAGCTGAAATAAGCGAGGGTCACACTGACCAATGTTTGACAGAGTTCACTGTTGCCTCCCCTACCACATGGAATCCGGCATTAATTCTAATTTATTTCATCCTGTCCAGCAGTTTGAATTCACAACATGCTAGAGTTTGTTATTGAAAGGCTTTTTTGTTATAAAGCACCATTAAGAGAATGTGGGATGTTTTGGCATGTGATTATGGGCAGATGGGTGTTTTATACCTGGAATGATGATGTGGGACTGTGGGATAACTGAGTTAGCATGAGAATGTGTGCAGCCTATCCTAACACCCAGACTACATTGAAAGCAGTTAGCCCCTGTATTGCTTGCAATGTAGTTGGGTAGTGCACAAGTCAGCACAGGCTGTACCTCAGTATTGGAGAGGCAAATGGCATTGGCAGAGACATTGTCCTGGTGAGATATCAAAATTATTGATGCAGGAATGGGAAATAGGCAGCCAACTCTTGCCTGTGCTGCCCTTGCTTGCACATGTCACCATGCCAACCAGCAGAGCAGCGTTGTTCCTGACACAAGGACCACTACCGGTCCCCTCCTGCCACCCACTGCCCAGCGATGCCAGGTGGATGCAGTGCTGGTCACCATCAGTATCCATGAGCATGGCAGCCCCTCCCCAGCAGTCCCACAGCAGGGCCCTCCCTCCTGGCTGTGGAGGGTGCCCAAGGACCATCCTCAGGTCTTCATTAAACTGCCCCAGTTGCTGTCTGCCCCTTTTGTCCCAGAATAGGTTCTTTCACATGGTGTGCAAGACACCAATCCACACAGGGAGTTGAGGTATTTGATTTATTTACAGTTCTGCACGGAAAGGGGTGGCAAATCCACAAGGCCAGTGTGACAGCTACCAAAACTTTTCACTATTCACACATTTTTGCAGACAAAGGCATTGTTTGCTATAGAGCAAATTGGCTAGAAGTTACCCAGATTTTTTTGTTGATTAATATTCTATCTTCTATCAACAGATGATTTTCTCAATTCTCATGGTTATTAGTGCTCAAGTGCACATGCTCAAGTCTTTCTGTTCTTTTGGGTCAGTGAATTGCTGGCTATAATCTCCCCTGTTGGAATTACCTTTTACCCAGTCGGAGCTGATCTCAATACAGTTGCCGAGTTGTCTTTATTAGTTTCTTCCTTATCTTAGGGGTCCTGCCAAACGTCCTTAGGACCTGTAAATTCTTCATTCTTTGTGTGCCCTGTCAGCTTGCCCCCCAAGCTTTGCTAACTTCCACCTGGTTCACAGGTCGTTGAAATGTGTCGAGACCTAAACCTTAACAAGGCTATTCTGCCGACAAGTAATTTCTTTTTGACACCCGGGCATCACTTAGAGCTTGCTTGTTCGCTGCTCTGCGTTCCACGGATTAAATCTCCTTTCTTGTTGATTCAACCTGGAAGTATAAAAAGTTCAAACATCAAAGAGCATCCTTTCTTAAGAATTTTTTAATAAATTTCATATCCGCATCAGCGGCGCTGCCCCGGGGCGGGGCCGGGCCTTCCCCCGCCATGGCGGCGCGGCCGGGGCGGTGCCGAGCGGCGCCCGCGGGGCGTCAATAAAGGCGGGCAGGCGGGCGGGGCCGGGACGCGCGGGGCCGGCGGCGGGAGGAGGCGGCGGGAGGAGGCGGCGGGGCCGGCGGCCGTGGCTGGCGGCCCGGCCCGCCATGAGCAGGGCGCAGCTGACGCGGACGGGGATCCTGCGGATGGCGCTGGGCGGCGGCGGCGCTGACCCGCTGCTGCCGGCGGAGGGCGGCGGGGGCCGGCGGGCGCCCTTCCTGCTGCGGGCGCTGCGCATCGCCGTGGTGGTCTGCCTCTACTGGTTCACCTCCATCGCCATGGTCTTCCTCAACAAGTACCTGCTGGACAGCCCCTCGCTGCGCCTCGACGCCCCTCTCTTCGTCACCTTCTTCCAGTGCGCCCTCACGGCCGCGCTCTGCCTGGGCCTCAGCCTGGGGGCGGCCTGCGGGCCCCCCTGCGCCGGCCTGCCCGCCCTCCGCCTGGACCCCAAGGTGTCCCGCAGCGTCCTGCCCCTCTCCGCCGTCTTCATCGGCATGGTCACCTCCAACAACCTCTGCCTCAAGCACGTCGGCGTGGCCTTCTACAACGTGGGGCGCTCCCTCACCACCGTATTCAACGTGCTGCTCTCCTACCTCCTCCTCAAGCAGACCACCTCCCTCTATGCCCTTCTGGCCTGCGGAGTCATCATAGGTGAGGGGGAGCAGGAAGGGCTGCTCCCATCGACAGCCAGCCCCGGAGAGGCGGTGGTGGGGTGCCTTTCCCTTGGGAAGTCATCCCCACCTGCATGGCAGCTCCCTGGTGAGGTGGGGTAGCTCAGGGCTCTTGCCTTGCTCTGGCTATGGCAACCAAATTTGTATGTCTGGAGGATGTAGGTGACTCACTAAGAGAAGAAGTTGCTCTCATTTGACACAGCTCCCTTTTGCCTTCGAGCACTAAAACTTCTCTACCCTCTAATGAAGTGTAACTTAACTTTTTGTTTCTTCCCCCTGTACAGGCCATAAAATAGCAGGTGGCTTTCTCCCTGTTCCCAAGTTCTTGTTGATTATTAACTTCAGTAACAATAACATTTATGTCAGCACCACTGGGACCATACAATAGAGCCAGCCAATTGGTTTTTACAATAGGCTGAATGCATGTGATAAAGGGTTAGCTGATCAAGCCAAGCGTAAAACACCACCAGAAGATCTGGTTGCTTGGTTAGGATGTAGGGTGAGGCACCGAGTATCTTAACAGGAATGTTTATAAGCTGTCCATTCCAAAGGCAAAATAATCCCAAAAGCTACCTTCCACTGAAGGGCTGTTTAGATGCCAAGAATGGTGAATTGTTGATTTCAGTCTGGTTCCAGGTGTGCATGCATTAACTAAGTGTTAGATGGCCGGATGGAATCAGATGAAAATAAGAGAATCTCATCTCCATGGAAGAGGTGAACAGGAACAGAGCTACTGTATTTTCTACAAGTGATGCAAGCAATTGCCTTCAGCTATTCTTTTGTTCAGGCACTGCCCAGGAGTGTGGTGCCTGGCAGCCTGACAGGGTTTCTCTAAGGTTCATACTGTCTGGCTGGCTCCATCTCTTTTCACTGTGAAAGCATCACCTGAGTGCCTATAGCAGCACAGCTGAGCAGCCTCTGTGGCCTGACACAAAGCCCCTGCTGTTGGTGCATGGAACCCATTTGTATCTGGGCTTAGTTTCAAGCCATTAGATGCTTTGCAGGCAACTTCCCAGACAGCCTCCAACAAGAGGCATCTAATGAAAATGTGGTGCAGTGCTCGTTCAGTAGCTCATCTCCCTTTTGTGTTTTGCTTATGAGCTGGATGGGGAGAGGTCTCCCTCTCTGCCCTGGAGGTGCAAAACCTGTAGCTCTTGTTTTGGAGGTGGTTAGACAGTGCTTTGCCTATAAAAGTTTAACATGAAGATACTGCACACAGTTTCTGCCTTTTGATTTTTTTTTTATCATGCTTAATATTACATCCATGTTTTTACTATCTTTCCATCTTCTTATCTGACTTTTATTTTCCTTCCTGTTAACTGCAGAGAAAAGTCTATAAAGTTGGGTTTATTCAAACTTTGAAGAATATTTTTTCTACCCATATATCAATTCCAGCCTTTTCAATTAAAAACAAAATGGTGTCCTGAAAATTACCTATATACAGAGACTAGCTGGAATAGTAGTTTCTGAACTGCTGCCTGCTCAGTGTGGGAATTAGTCCTCTGAGGTTGAATTACCTGCACTTGCAAAATAGGTCTTCCCAATCATGGCATTTTGTGGGTTCACATAATAGAAGGGGGGAGCCCTTAAGTGTGTCACTGTTGTTGTTCACTATAAAGTAAATGATGAATTTTTGACTGTATGTTTTGAGCAGTTGTTCAGATGATGCCTGGTTTGTTTGGTTGCAGGTGGCTTCTGGCTGGGTGTTGACCAGGAAGGAGCAGAGGGTACTCTGTCATGGACAGGTATATTCTTTGGGATCTTAGCAAGCCTTTGTGTCTCTCTCAATGCCATCTACACCAAGAAAGTGCTGCCTGTGGTGGATGGTAGCATCTGGCGCCTGACCTTCTACAACAACATCAACGCTTGCGTCCTGTTCTTCCCCCTCATGGTGCTGCTGGGCGAGTTCCGCACCCTCTACCACTTTGACAAGCTGGGGAGCCCCAGTTTTTGGGGCATGATGACCTTGGGGGGAGTGTTTGGCTTTGCCATTGGGTACGTGACTGGACTTCAGATTAAGTTCACTAGCCCACTCACCCACAACGTGTCTGGGACAGCCAAGGCCTGTGCACAAACAGTGCTGGCTGTTATCTACTTTGAGGAGACAAAGAGCTTCTTGTGGTGGACGAGTAACTTGATGGTTCTCGGGGGCTCCTTTGCCTACACGTGGGTGAAAGGGCTGGAAATGAGAAAGGTGCAAGAGGATCCCAATGTCAAAAGCAGTGAAAGAAATGACACTGGTGTGTAGGTGGCTCCTGCACCTCTATTTTTGAGCCTGGTGGGGATAACCTTTGGTGCTCCTTTCCTCCTGGGGAGAAGAGCAAGGAGCAGAAAAAATGTACCTACAAAGTATACGGGGAATTGTGTCAGGAACCAGAGCCAAAGACCTGACTGGATCATGTTTTATCTCACCCCATGTCAGACTTGGGGAGAGCATGTGTTGTAGAGATCAGCTGGGTTGGGGTTCTTTTTTGTGATTGTTTTTTAAAATGGATGTTGTTATTTACCTAATCTGGGAAATTTGCATGGGGGGGGGGGAGTTGGGCTCATATCAGACAAAGACTGGAATGGGAGCTTTGTGTAGTTAGGGATCTAAAATTAACTGAATGAGTGCAATCTGGAGTTACAAAATCCTGAACCTTCAGGAAAGGAAGAGTCAAGTAGCCAGACTGTTTGGGTTAGACTTCAGTAAACTGTTCTGCTGTATAAGGTTTTGCAACAGCTGTTCTTCTGTTGCCCCATTCAGTGCAGAGGATGGAAATTCTCTCCCTTCTGGCTATGTACAAGTCTAAGCAACAGCAGTGCCTCCAAAATGCCTTTCCAGAGTCAGTATCACATCCTTCTGAGATTTTTTTCCTGTGTTGCTTTACACCTGTTTTCTCAATTTGAGGAAGTATGCTAAGAGTCAGGAATTAAACTTCTCATTCTCTCCGCACTGTATCCAGTGAGGAAGAGGATGCTCCTTCCAGGGGCTTTTCTCATGGAGTGAGCTTGGCCTCTGTGTCACTCGGTGACAGGCAGGAGTGGAAAAGTTACGCTGAAACACTTGCTGCTGTAGGATCCCAGTTCACCCAGGGTTTGCAACACTTCTTACCCTCTTTGTAGGGGGTACGTTTGTATTGAAAATGACGTTGTTTCCCATTCCCTTGTTTCAGGGGGCTTATTCCATGTTTACCTTGTAGCTCCGGTACGAGTGTATTCAGTGCTTGCAGTTTGCCTTTTGATTTGTTCCTTTTAAATACCCCCATGGCCATCTCAGCAATGCAACTCGTTCAATGCAATGAGTTTTGCTCAACTGTATCAATCCCTTTGCTTGGGACTTGCTGCTGAACAGATCTACAGAAATCTCTGCCCAACCCACCCCACCCCTCCAGTCTGGTTCTATGCAATAGAGTACGTCTGTGCTGTGATTTCTAATTCCTGGGGTCTGCAGCAAGAAACATCCTGTGGTCAGCTGTGATGTTGCACCAGCTTTCTAAATCCCTGGCCCTTTTAAATATAAAGTTACTCTGGTAGTGATCCTGGGCAGTCCATGCCATTGCTTCATACCCTCTTCCATGGATCCTACATGATGTACCATGTCCCGTGAGTGATGTCTGAACACACCTACCGAAGAACACTCAATGTCTGCCCAGAATATGTTCCTGCTTAATTTCGGGGGGTGGAAGGGGCTCCTGATCCAGGGTTGGTGGTCACAGGTACCTTTTCGATGCCATTTAGGGTCTTTGAACGTTTCTTTGGGTTTTTTTTTTTGTTTGTGGGTTTGGTTGTTTTTGGGGGTGGGGCTGGGGTTTTGTTTTGTTGGTTTTTTGGGGTTTTTTGGGTTTTTTTTTTTGGACTGGGGATTTTCGACGTTGGCCTGTAAGACGAGCCCTGCTGCCTGAACTCGGGGCTCGCTGTCTGGGGGTGGCAGCGCCATTTCCGGGGCGGTTTCCGCGACGCCGCCCCGCAGGCGGCAGCGGCGGCCCGGGCCGCTGGGGGGCAGCAGAGCGCCCCCGGTGCGCCGATTGGCTGTCCCCACGCGCGGCAGTCACGCGGCGGGGCGGGGCGGGCCCCGCGGCTCGGGTGGCGGCGATGGCGGCGGCGGCCGCGCTGGGCCCGGCGCCGGCCCTGTGCCGCTCCGTGCACTGGTTCCGCCGCGGGCTGCGGCTCCACGACAACCCCGCGCTGCAGGAAGCGCTGCGGGACGCCACGTCGCTCCGCTGCATCTATATCCTGGACCCCTGGTTCGCCGCCTCCTCCGCCGTGGGCATCAACCGCTGGCGGTGAGTGGCAGCGGGCCTGCGGGCCGCGGGGGCTCCCGCGGCACCGGAGCGCTGTGGGCCGTGTCGGTCGGGCCGCACACGCTTCCGTGTCGGGCCCACTTACTGCTCCCCCCGGCCCTCCCGCAGGAGGGCGGCTGTGCCTTGTCCGCTTGGCCTCGCCGCGGTTTTCTCCGCGGTGCTGCCGGACTGTGTGGGAGGATGCCTTCACCTTTATGTAATGTCATTAGGCTTTATCAGTGGGGCGAATGTATGAGAGCAGCAACCGAGGGATACTTAGCTTTGGGAAACCCTTTCCCCTGAATTTAGAGACGAGGGAGAAGAATGCTGAGTTCCGCGGCTGCACCACGCCTCCCCTGTGCCCTTGGGCTGCCGGGCGCGCGTAGGCACGTGCGCACGCAGCGCCGTTCTCCCAGCGCTCACGTTTTTAGGGAAATGCACATCGGATGCTGCTAAGAAACTAGAGATGAAGCTGAATGGGCTTTTCCTCATCTCTGCAAATGGAAAAATGTATAGCATGAGTCATGTTTCTGCAAAGATCAAGATCTCACGTACCTGTAGCCAACATTACATAATGCTGTTGTGTCAGGTCTCAGCAGCCTAAACATTTGGAACCCCAATCCAGATAGGGATTCCCCCGGACAAGACTCCCTTGCATACAAGTGAAGCAGATCTCCCACTACCCCCTCGGAGGAAGTCGACAGACAACCACCTGGGTAAAGATGCTTTGAGGACGCCTGGAAATGTCACGTGGCTGTGCACTAGGGTAACAGTAGTTGTAATTGATTGCTTCTGCTGTGCTCCTTGGCTTCATTTCAAAGAATAGGGTTGTATGGGTCATATCTATGTGTTTCTAGAATCCCACAGCAGAGGACAACTTAAAAACTGTAAATGTGCAGAAGTTACCTCAGTGTAGTCATTCAAAGTGCAGAAAATTGTGAATTCTGTATAGGAATCTGAATTGATCTTTCCATAGACCAGACTTTCCGCAGGTAGCAGCAGACAGAAATGCCTTTCACGTGCTGCTGTTCTTGATGTCTGTCCCCATTTGGAAGAACCAAAGTGGTGCCACAACAGATTAATTCCTGATCTGTTTAATCCTTGTTTGTTTCTACCAACGTTGCAGAGGGAGTCTTCTTTATGTTGTAATCCTGGAATATATGAGCAAACAAAATTTTTTAAAACAATGTTTTCTTGGAGGTGCGGAACTACTGCAGATGTCAGAAATGAGCACTACTGGCTGTTAGGCAAAAAACATACTAGCAAGTTACTTATGTTGGCCAGAGTTCCATTCATTCCCATTGTTAGCCTTGGCTTTGTTTTGCTAATTTTTTAAATCCAAATATTTGTATTCAGTGTTCTGTTCTTCAAAGGCAAATTCTTATGTTTTACCTAGTTCTCACAAATTTATCATGTTGAAAATCTCTTGTTATTTAGCTGCACAGTGTGTGTGAGCCATTTAAAATTTTTAGAACACCTCGGGTAGTTGATGCTCATACTTAATAAATGGAAAGTGGGCTGGGGCTCAGGGAGTGGTTTGTTTAGGTTACCTGGACCTGGTTCTGGGTGTTCTTCCTTGTGACAGAGTGCCCTTTTTCTGTGAACCCTGCGCCTTTTTCTCCCTCCAGAAATGCAGAGTGAGTTGTTCTATCTGGAAGCTCACAGTTCACATTATGGGTGGTGCAGCTATGGAGAGAGAAGTTGCCACTTTGCAGTGCAGTTGCAGTAGCTTGGCTTTCCTTAGCTGTGGGTGGTCTTTAGGGAGCTGAGGCAGTTCTGGCAGATCACACTGCAGAGTGGGCATAGAGGATGGAGGGAAAGGTAAGGGTTGGCAGGCTCACTTACAAAGGGTTGTGTGTTTGCCAGCAGTGCCAGGTGCTGAGGGGACACTGAAGTTTTAGAGCTGGTGTCTTTTGCAGAGTTAAATAAAACAAAATGAAGTTACTATGTAGATGGGGTGATGTGTGACTGGGAAAGCAAATACTATACATTTGGTGTTTTACAGCTTAGTGGGGGATTAGTAAGACATACCAATAAATGCAGAAAGCACTTACATGGCTTCTTAGAGTTTTGGGGTGAGAGGGAATAGGTGAATGTCTTGGCATGCTCTCATCTCCGTGCCTTCATGGTGCAAGGTGAATTGCAGTTCTCTTTGCAATTATTCAAAGTACAGATAATTCTTGCCTCCAGAGATATTGGTGCTCAGTCTTGTGCTACTGATGAGCTAAGAGAGTACATTTCTCTGATGTGACATGGTGTATTTATAGCTAAAACTGTAAAACCTGCACAGTTCTTGCAGTATGTCATTGCTTTCCTTGGAGTAATGCATCAAAATTTTTCTGCTTCACATGCAAAATTCCATTTTGCCCCAAAACCTGTGAAAAAATGTACAGTAGGGAATTACATGGTTTATGCTTTCTCCATGTAATGCGGAGAGAAAAATTGACAAGGGTGTTCTCCCACCTCTGTGGGAGAAGGTGGGAAGTGGGTTGCAGTAAGAAGAACATCCTGGAAGCCTCTTGGATCTGGACAAGCACAAGTTGCATATGAGTGAATGGGAGCTGTCTGGTGCTGCAGTCTCATAAAAGTTGTTAGACCAGAGATAAATATGAATTCTTGTTTTCTGGTTCCTCCAATCTTCCAGTTTGATTTGGTGGTACAGCTTTTCTGGAGTTCCATGCAAATTCTCATTTGCCTTTTAGCTGTAACCCATCTGACTGACACTAACTGCTGTTGTTCCTTCTCTGCAGATTTCTTCTCCAGTCCCTGGAAGATCTGGACAACAGTTTAAGGAAACTGAACTCTCGCTTGTTTGTTGTGCGAGGGCAGCCAACAGATGTCTTCCCAAGACTCTTTAAAGTAAGAGAATAATTTTTTGGAGCATAATGAAGAAAAATTAGTGACCTGGTGCTAAACTTGCTTTCACTCCCTAATGATTGGTGATTCCCTCAGCATCTCTTTAACTATAACTAGTTCTTACTAGTTATAACAAACTTTCCTCCTTAACTACAACTAACTGCTATATATAAGGACCACCTTGGGAGCCAGATCTGCACCTGAACTCAGACTTGCAAAGAAATGTAGTTGTAGGGTGTAAACTACTATCAGGGTGCTCAAGCTTCTCTTTTTGGATGGTGGCCTTGAACTTTGTTCCTATAAGTCACCTCTCACAGGGCTGCACTGTGACACACAGACCCTTTGTTGGGAGTTTCTTTCCGAGTGGCTATTTGCTTATTGCAGTTTTTACTTAGGAAGACCGCTGTGTCTATAGACCTTTACAGACAACAGAAGAAAGTACACTGATCTGTATGTGAATTGCAAGTGGGATTTTGTGTTAAAATTTCAAAATTCAGGAGCTTTTATGTTAGCTGACCTTCCTTTTCTGTTCATGACTGCAGTTTAGTCATCTCAGCAGCAGGATATACTTGGGCGCAAGCTTCCTGCTGA